GTCGTAGCGGTTGGAGCGGTCTCTACTAGCCCGATAGCTGTCGCCCGTCTTGCTGCGGCTGTTGTCTTCAGGGATGGCCGAGAGCCGATCGGCGGTGGTAGTGGCGGCGGTATCATCCCCATTGCGGTTGGGGCTGCGACTCCAGCTGCGGTGGCGACGGGAGCGATGCGATCGTCGACCATTGCGCCTGTCCCGGTCCCTATCGCGACGGCCGTGGGCAGTCGAACGGCGAGAATCGCGCGAAGGAGAGCGGGTGCGATGGCCGTCGTCTGCACCGGACGCCTCGTCGTACTTGTCGTCGCGACGGGGTCGTCTGGGTCGCTCGCGGCGTCGCTCGGGATCGTCTCCGGGCATGTCCACGCTGGTGGAGCGTTGCCGATACGAGCGACGACCGTCCTGTTGGGAAGGAGGCTGGGGCGATCGTGACCGGCTCTTGGCTCTGGATGTCGACCTCGGTCGTGACCGTGAGCGGGAGGTTGATCGTGGTCGCTGATCGTCCTGAGTCGGCGTAGCGCTTGCGCTGGGAGAAGGACGATTAGTTAAGAGTTGAGCTAAGCGGGTTGAGAGTTTCGTTTCTCACCTATGAGGGGTCGCTCCGAAGGGCTGCGCAGATGAAGCCCCAGATCGTGCCCCAGGAAGCTGGAAATTACGCTGTCGGAGAACGCTGGTGTTGGGCAGACCCTCTCGCATGGCTCGAGGCGCGGCAGGTGCGCCTTCCACGCCTTGACCGCGAGGCTCGGGATACATTGCGCTGACACCAGCTCCCATGAAGGAAGCTCCTCCTCGTCCTCCACCAGAGAAGGCGCCACGCATGAACCCTCCGCCTCTTCCAAAGCCACCTCCCATCGGTCCTGGCACTGGCACTGGCATTCCCATGGGGAAGTTCGACATCGCCTGCATGGCATTGACTTGGTCTAGACTATCAATGGTGGGGATGCCCTGAAGCTGAGTCTCCTCCTGTGCCGAAGTCTCCTGTGCAGCAGCAGCAGCAGTAGCATCTGAATCAGTGGGATTCGATTCACCATTTTCAGCATTTCCCTCGGTGTCTGTGCCATCATTGGGCACATTATTGTCATGTGTGTCGACCACTTCACCGTTAGGCGCTGATTCGTTGACCTCCTGAGCGTCTCCTTGAGCGAACTCCCCAGACATATCAGCAGCGCCATCCTGCGACTGAGCGGCCGCCATGTCCGGGTTCATATTAGAGGCATTATGGTTAGGGAACGCTGGGTAGTTAGCATTAGGGGGATAAGCGGCCTGCATATGTCCACCAGCAAGACCGCCGCGGCCACGACCACTAGGGAAATATCCACCACGACCGCGACCCCGAAAATTGCCTCTGCCATACCCCGAGCCATACGACCCGTTTTGATAATCTTGGCTAGGGAATTGTTGCTGCTGCATTTGAGCAAGGTTGGGTTGAGACATATTATATCCACCGAAGCCAGAGGGGCCCCCGTATTGCGGACCCATACCATTTGCGAAAGCATTTGGATTGAATTTATCTTGGCCTCCATTCCACATATTGTTCTGTGAGCCGTCCCATCCCCCATACATCCCCTGACCCGCGTCGAAACTCATTCCCATGTTCATACCATTCATGTTCATCCCGTAGCCCCCAAACATACCCTGATTCGCGGCCATCGGGTCCATCGCCATTCCAGGCATTCCTGAAGTAGCATGTCAGTAAAGGAATGGCAGACAGAGATGACAGGGCGGAGACTGACCCATGGGAAAATTGAACATGCCATTGTTCATATACTGGCTCATCGGATTGAAGCTTCCGGCGTTCCAGCCCATGTTGGGAAACATGCCGGCGCCCGCGCTAAAGCCCATACCGTTGGGAGCCACTGACCCCGGCTCGCCGCCCTGAGAGATATCTTCCTCGTTGGCCTGAGCGGATTGGTTCTCATCGGTCGGACCATCCTCCCGAGCTCCGTCTTGGGCGGTCTCATCTGAGTGATCCGGTAAAGGCGCTGAAGAATTCTCGTCATTTTCGCCCTGCAAGAATATCGTGTTAGCGAGGCAAACTATACTTGTTTCGGAGGCCTACCAGAGCAGAAGCCTCAGCAGGTTCGCTGCTGATGGCGTTGTCCGCATTGGGCTCTGGATCGTTAGATCCAGTAGTGGGCTCTTCAGTGACATTATCAACAGGAGCAGTGCCAGATGCCGGACCGTCCTCTGCGGGCTGATCCCCAGCACCAGTCGCTGCAGCCGGAAGTTCCTGTTGAGCTGGAGTCGCATCCGCGGGCGTCGCCGGCGTCGCCGACTGTCTTTCCTTCTCGCGCTTCTTTTCCTCGGTGCGAAGGAAGGCCTTGAGGGTAGTTCGAAGGGCTTTGTTCGGTTTGCATAGATCAGAAGAGAGGGGCGTATGCGCGCAGACGGGGCATGTTTCGGGGAGAGACACTTGGCCTGATCATTGCGGATTAGTTGAGACGACTGGGAAAGAATCAAACTGGAAGAGGTCGCGCGTACAGTTCTCGCAAATGGCTTGATCGCAGCACGGAAGGCGGAAAGCGTTCACAGCCAGTTTATTGCAAATGGCGCATCGCAGCTTGAACGGAATCTCATCCTGCGTCAATGAGCTGCCCGGCGCAGGGAGGGCTGATCAGTCATCACGGTAAACAATATAGCGAAGACACAAAAGATCTAGCCTACCTGGCGATATCCATCAGGCCCGAAGGCTGGTCTGCGACAGCCATCGCGAAGATCACCACCGGCTCTTTTCTGGAGGGTAGTGGAAAGCGAAGAGATCAATCAATGGGGACGAGAGACGTCCGGGCGACTGATGTTAGGAGAAAAGAGAGGTGGAAGCCAGAATGGCGAAGATAAACCACATGCTCAGTGCGCCATCAACGGGAGACAAGGGCCATGCCTGCTGGCGTCACCACAAGTGAAGTAATGTTGTGATTTGGGGAAGATTAGCTCAGGTGGTGAATAGCGATCGCTATGGGATCACGCATTTGCCTGCCGGGACCAAATTTGGAGGGTCGGACAGCGGGCCGGAGCGGAAGAATAATACTTCCTCCCCGGTCCCGGTCTCGGTTTCATAACTGAGTCTCAGCTCGCTCTCTATCAACCACTTGAAACACCCACCACCTGCAGAGGAGGATAAGTCACCTCGTTTGACTCAACTTTAACTCTATGTATTCTTCTCGAATCCAACAGCAACATTCGCAAAGCAAACCAAATTGAACAGGTACTCTATGGGTCAAGAAGCTTACAGTCCCCAACCCCTTAGTACTCTTGATTAATCTTATTTGACTATCAGTATGTACATGTACAACCTAAATATCGCTCAGAACGTGTTGTTTTTGTCGATCGCACGCGTCTGATATATCTACAAGTACTGTATTAAGACATGTCATGTTGGTAACGATTGATTTACACCGCCCGGCGTTTACGGCGTAATCAGTGTTATAAGGTTCGCTACATTGATCCCATGTACGGCAAGGCTCACGACAGAGCAGCAGCATCATGAAGGATGAGATATTGGTTGCAAGTGAGTAAGCACTAGGCTATGCGCACCTGGCAGCCGGAATTGTCCTCCCTTCCGGTGACTTCCAATCTACCTATGAAGGATCGCAAGGTGTTCATCAACCCGCATGCATCCCAAGTTCTCATTCCATTGACACGCAAAACACTAGGCAAGGCAACAGGGGCAGGCACCACAAAACAATTAAGCAGCACATGGTCAGATTAGATCAAGTTAATTTTATGCCGTCAGTGACTGAGGATGGCTAGAACAAACTGGCCAACGAGAGATCCCCCCAACAATGGCGATACCCACAAGTTGCGGTTTCTGCCTGATTGTCGGGTTTCTCGCGCCCCTCTGGAGTCTCAAGAGCTCTTTGTATCATCATCAAGTGCCGTGGGTAGTAATGGTGGTGCCTTATTTGAAGGCAGGAAAGGGAAGGGGGGGGTGAAGGGTATTACCCCATGATCAATCATGATCACGAAGGGGAAGTAAATAAACACAGAACACCGCAAAGACTATGAAACTATGGCTCAGCTCTTCCATGCAAGAGTTGAGTTGAAATGTATCAAATCACCTGTATGACTCCCCTCCCCCCGAAAAAAAAGGGGATAGGCTGTGTAAGGTAGACAGGCGTCGGAAGCAGGGATGAATTTGCATCATCGACCTCGCTGACTCGACGGAATGAATCACGCGCGGTAAAGGTAAATGCAGTCAAGATCCAATCAGTGGGTGAACCAGATGCCGGAGTTCTACGGGCGGGGTGGCAAGGAGGAAATGGTTCGTTCGCTGGGGAGTGGGAGGCTGCGGCTGTGGTGACTGGGTGGTTGTAGTCATCGTCATCAAGCCTGCAGAAGTTGAGGTGAGGTGAAAGAAAGGGAAAGAGGGTGGGTGTGGTGGATGAATGAGTGATAGGGCTATCTTTTTTTCCAACTGACCAGTTGAACCCAGGTTGAAGGAAGTGGGAGAGTTGAAAATTACTCGGAGTGCTCGAGAACTGGCTGCCAAAAGAAAAAAGCGAAAAAGGAACAAGGAAAAAGAAAAACGAAAACGAAAAAAGAAAAAGAAAAAGTAAGTAAGGACGAAAATAGGCAAAATCAGGCCTAGCGTTGCAGGTGTAACGGAGGCGCAGGGTTAAAAAGGGCGGCCGCTGCTCCCCGGAAGGAAAGACACCCGGACCTTCTCTTGTCTGGCTGCTTGTAGCTGCTGTAGCTGCTGTAGCCACCTCGCCGCTGCTCTTGGGCACACGCACTTTGCTGGCTCTTGGCACTACTTTACACGATCTGACACTACTTTACACCACTGTTACCGTATTGCCCACCTCCCAAAACACAACACAAGGGACAAAAGCTCGGGCCATCCGCTGCGCGCGATCTACAAAAACATCCCCTTCCTATCCTCTTCATTGTTCGACAATTCTTGATTATTATTATTATTATAGTAATAATACTCATCATCAAGAAAAACACATCGAGTTCTTGACTGTCTCTCTTTGATATGATCATCACTCAAAGGTTTCATGTCTTTCTAAACCCAGACTGAACCTTCTCAATATTCTATTGATTCTTCACTTCTTGTGACCCTCGAACACGATTTCCACCAAGTTTACTACTGGCGGTAAAGGTACGAGAAGAACCAGTTCCCCATATTTATTCTATACTAGTCTGTTTTTTTCTTGCTTCTAGGCGCGCACGCGCAATATTTTGTCATTGTCCTTGTTCACAAAAAAATAAGTAATAATAAAAAACCCCGTTTAATCCCCACAGGCGATGACCGAACAAGACAATTCCTACCGACCACGATCCCCTGATTTTTCCACCTTCCAATCCCCCATCTCCCCTTCCGTCAACCACTCCGTCTACCCGTTTGGGAATCCGCTCGCCCATCGCGCTTCCTACGACGCCTCACCTTTCTTCACCCCGCAGTATCAACAACAACCCCCGGCCCCGCCAAGCAGGGTTCCCCAGCAATACAATCAATATAATCTCTATCCCTTCGCCGACGCGACACATCTACACCCGGATATGGCTCGCCGTTCGACGCGTATCGCCCACCAGGCCGCCGAGGTCGCGCCGCAGCCCATATCCAAATACATCGACCCGGTGGTCTCGGAGGAAGAGGAGCCTGTCCGACCTCCTTCTCCTTCTCCTCCCCCACCTGCTCCTGTTGTTGCTCCCGTGGCGGTCCCCGTCGAGGTCAAGACCAAATTCCCCGTTGCGCGCATAAAGCGTATTATGCAGGCCGATGAAGATGTCGGCAAAGTCGCGCAGGTCACGCCAATTGCTGTCTGTACGTACAATTCATCCTCCGTACTTCTCGCGCTTGTTGTGAAATTTGTACTGATCTTTTGTTTTTCTTTCTCTTCCCACAGCGAAAGCCCTCGAGTTGTTTATGATCTCTCTCGTCACCAAAGCCGCCAAGGAAGCCAAGGATCGCAACTCCAAACGCGTCACTGCCTCGCACCTCAAACAAGCCGTGGCCAAGGACGAGGTACTTGACTTTCTGGCAGATATCATTGCGAAGGTGCCCGACCAACCGCCGAGTCGGAAACACGAAGATGATGGCAGTGATCAGAATGAACAACCGAAACGAAAGAGAGGTGGCCGTCGACCTAAAGATGACAGCGATTGAGTTATGTTGGGCAACGGTTCTCAGGCGCATTTTCATCTGATGATTGATTCTGTATTCTTTTTTCTTTTTTGTTTTTTTCGCTTTCTATATTAGTGGACTATCTGCTGGGCTCTTCTCTAGACCGGAATGGAGAACGGGCGCAAACTATACTCTCTAGGCGTTGCGGTGGTGGGCATGGGTGGGCTTGCATCTCTCGCGATATGAACAGGTACTTTATTCTTTTGGCTCTCTTTCTGTACTCGCTTCCTTAGGTGGGGATTAGGGATTTCGCTCTTGTCCTTTTTCTACGTCCTGGTTGATGTGACAATCTCAGTGAGTGTGACGGAATCTCTTTGTACTGTAGAATAGGTACTCGTTGGTTGCAGGTGCTGAGCGTCGACTGGAACTGGCACTCGAAATGCGACGAAGAAGAATACTTACTAAGGTACACACTGCACTGCACTTGATAAGGTTTCCTTGGAACGTCGCAATGGAAACACGACTAAACCCGTTCGGGTGGCATCCGGGTCCGCATCAGACTAACCCCTTTTAGGTGCATGTTTGGGCCTGAGTTCCAGCCCCAGGCACTCGCTCAACTTAGTACTGCTGCTGCTGCTGCTCTTGCCTTCTTCCTGCACATCGTTAACCTTCCCCCCCTCCGACTCTCCATCCCCTCCCCCTCCTCCACGCTCACTGATCATGTTTGAGACATAGTATCATGCTGGTTCTTCAGAATCATGGACTTTGTATGTTTGACTCTTTCCTCGTATTCCAGACCCTCGTCATTTCCGTCAAAGCAAACAAACTGATATAACGCAGTGGTCTCGTATTATCGGGGGCTCCCGCTCGCTCTCTACTAAGAGCTTTCGGGCAACTACTCCCACAGAGCGATTGACCTCGTTCAAGCGAACGTGTAATACTCTACAGGTATACCATTGTCCTTGGTGGGAGCAGCTCGCGATCCCACGCTGATCTTTCTAGCAAATATGGCGCTCCAGTAATTCTCCCTCCGGCGAACAGTCCGCGACAGTCAACGCGCGCAACTGCATTGATCGGCTGATTTCCGTCCTGAGCGACGAGTCCCGTGGCCCAGCCCCTCATCCATGCCTCGCATACGCCTCCTCCTCGCAGATCTTCGTCACCGTCACCAAACTCGCCCTCTCCTCCTACGACGATGGCATGCTCCGCTCTGCGACCGTGTTCTTCAACACTCTGATCGATTCTGAGGTCGACGGGGTGGTCGATAACCGTCTCTTCGCGCGGGCGCTGGTGGATCTTGTCCGGCGGGCGGACAAGCATTCAGAAGATGTGGAAGGGAGACTCGTCGAGCTTCTATTCGGGGTGGCCAACAACATCCGCCTGCAACCCAATATCCTTCCGGCGTGGTTCGCTCCCCGTTCCGACGAGCAGGTACGGGAACAGCAGAGTAGCAACGGGGCGGAGTTTGCCGGTGCCATGAGAAAGGATGACTTTCCGCTGTTCTACCTGCTGGTGGAATATGTGCACCACGCGGGCCGCGCTGGCGATTTCGCTCGCACCGGTCTACTTTACCTGATCGAGACGGCGTCGAGGTCGAAGAATCTCGAGCGATGGCTGATTGAGAGCGATCTGGCGACGTTGATGGCAACCGGTCTGGGCGCGCTGTACAGCCAATTGGGAAGGTGCGTGTGCAATCATGGATGGGTGTTTCAGGTCTGCCAGGCCTAACTAACCATGCCGATTTAGCTTGACGTTCCCTGAGAACACAGATGAGAACATTCCGCATATCGTCGCTCTTTCGGACCATGCCAATCAAGAAACGGCTCTTCCCCCGCTGCTCGGCCCGTCGATGGACTCGTTTATGTCGTATCTACTGTTTTGGCAGGACACGATCGACCACTGCAAGTCGGCCGAAGTGAACGGGTCACTGTTGGATCATTTCCAGGTACTGTTCCTGGAACAGCTGCTGTAAGTCATTGTCTACCCAAGGTGACTTGTTGTTATACTAAGTATGCCCCCAGGTACCCATCGTTGCTCGAATCTTCAGACGTCGAGGGCGGTTCGACGGCCGCGGTACTTACCTATCTCTATCGGATTCTAGAGTCGGTGAATCAAGAAGACCTTGTACACCGGATTCTCCATTTCCTTCTTGCCTCCCCTTCGGACTCAGAGCCCGTCACCATCGACATGTCTGCCAGTCGACGGAAGTCACTAGATGTGTTGGCTGCGTTTTCCGAAGAAGCCGCGAGACCTTCACCATCCTTATTCAACCTCCGAGACCTGACTTTGCTTGGACTTCAGTCGGCTAATCGTCAGACCACTTTGGCGACACTGCGTCTCATGACTGTCGTGCTACAGAGACATCACTCTTTTGCACGGTCGTTGGTCCGGACCGTCCCAGGTCAATATGCCAAGCAGCGGACCGTGGGCGCTCTGAACGTCGAGCTTCAAGGACTGCTGGGCATGGCTACGTCAATAGTCGACGACCCGACATTAAATGATTCTTATGACAACTACCTGAAGGATGGGCTAGCGATCCTAGAATCCCGCCTTTGTATGGCCCTTTCGGAGGACAACCCAGAAGACCACCTTCCTCTCGAACTTCGACAGGATGACCCTATCGTGCACGAGCTGCTCCACCGCCTGGGAAACTTCTTCACCAATAGTGTAGTTGTGAACCTAGCACTTACAGAGGTCTTGGGGAGTATCGCTGCATCACATTTGATATCTCTTGATGGATGGCTTCTAGTAGATCCGGCGAAATATGTCTACACAGCCGAAGAAACGGGCGCATCCAATCTTCTCGACCAAATCAAGCATGCTTACGAGGAACCAACGTGGGATCAAGCCGACACGCCGGCTCTCAAGTCGACCCTTCAGAAGCTCGTGCAAAAAATCCAAACCTGGCGTCAGGAGATTCCCGATTTCGATATCCTTGTCGCCGCGCGCCGGGACCTACTCCATCAGGACGATGAGCCGGCCCAAACCCCCAACCGCTCACAAGGGGGCTCCCAACCGCCCACCCACTCTCCCTCACAACGACCGATCCCGCGCGTTGAATCTGAACACGGCTCACCAACGCCCCGAGGCAGGCCCTCTAGTCGACCCTTCGATCGAGCCACCGCCAGCCCCTCCCCAACTCGGAATAGCTCCAGGGACTTTTTCTCCGCCCAAGACCTTCCCTTCCGACCCCCACGAGAAACCTCTGTCGCACGGAAGAATGCCGCCGACGAACTCCGTCGACGGCTCGAGCAGCCATTCGCAGTGAACCCTTTTACCCCAGGTGAAACCATCACCACTGTCACCACCGACAACCTAACTGGACCCACTCCAACTGAGTCCACCTCGGCTGAGGGTGGGAGTTCCGACACCGCTCAGACCCTGGCCCCAACTCCGGCATCCGAAGGTGTTCCTACGCCTGATGAACCCCCCACGAATTCAGCCGTCCTCGACGAAGAGGATGACCAGCAGGAAGCAACCTTGGGCCATGTGCTGACCAACGTGATCTTATTATATGAGTTTCTCCTCGAGGTCTCAGCCATCGTCCAAGCACGCGGAACCTTGTTTGAGGAGGCCGGATACCCGGGTCTGGGGATTGCTCCAGCAGCGGCTCCCCTCGAGATAGAATAGTCCTCAGCCACCAGTTCGGAGAATTGGGGAGGCAACCGGTTCACAAATCTGGGCAGGTCCTGTGTGAACGAGATCAATAACGGTGACAAGGGTTATATGTATTTTCTATCTACGGCTCGATGTTCTGGTCCGAAGAGTCCTAGTTATGTATTTACTTTCGTCGTATCTGTCTTAGTATATCATGGTTAGGGCTAGGATATATCAACCGAGGGGATCGAATGGATGTACAGTATTGCCATGTCTATATCAAGAGTGTTTCATCACTCTTTTTCTCACTATTTCCAAGCATTAGAGCCGTTTCGAAGCTTATTGCGCCTGAGTTCAGGCCTCAGGTGCGTGTTGTCCATTTCCTTACACATACACATACTAAGTCCCCATTCCCAAATATATAGTAAGCGTCGCGCACGTCACTAGGAGTTGCTAGATTGTCGTCCGTAATTGAGCACCTCCAATAAGCCAGGGTTCTATATACTGGCTTGCTGGCTTTCTGTTGACAGCTCTTCTCAATGCTAGTGAGCTCTTCATAGGTATCTAGAGACGGTTCCTAATGGGGCCGGGGGCGGGGGCGGTCCACCTTCTAGCAAACCTACTCATAATTGACCGTCATCATCTTCATCATCGCAGCAGATATCTCCGAGCTGCATCGCAAGTACCTTCGCCTTGGAGCAGAGAGTTGTACATACATATTGCCATATACAACGATACCTGTGTTGCGACGCCATGGATAGACACCGCTTGAACGATGACCCGCCTGTATTATATACCTCCAGAGAGACCATACGTACATCCAGCACCTGACCCCGAACATCCCTACCTCCCTACCGTCTTACCTAGCTTCCTACCTGCTTACCTCTCTGCCGTAGCAAGGCCTAGCCATAGCAATGACCATAGCTCCGGGTAAGAAGCAAGAACCCCCGCAATCCCCGAATCCATAGGTTGAGGCGTAAGAACAATCGGTCCACCGCCACCACTGGACACAGACACCCGCATGCGTACGCTCACGCGTTCCCATTAGCTGGAGACCGTCCACTCCCACCCTACACACCATTCAGGACCCCACGAATCTCATTCCACATACAGACTTACTGACAATCCCTCGAATCTGAGACTGCACTAGCATGACCGAGGAAGAAGAAGGAAGAAGAAGAAGAAGGGGAATACATTCCACGAGGCTCCACTATCAGGAGAATACCGGGTTCATTTCATACACAACATGGGCTTTGGACCAGCACGTGAGAAAGGGAAGGAAGACAAAGGCCAGGCTAACCCTACCAGACCCACCTGCCCCGCGTCCACACACGGACGAAATCCACCTTCTCCTTCACGCTCAGCCCGACCCTCTTGACGCGGGCTAACCGCGCCAGCGAGTCCGCGACGTGGTCGAGGAGCGCCGCGTCGGAGACGCCCGTCGCCTCCGGGGAGGACGAGGCGCTGCGGGTCGAGGCGTCCAGCGTGTCCAGGTAGTTGGTGTCGTAGTTTCTGCGGGTCGACGAGCCGGTCGATGCTGCGGCGGTGGTTGAGGCTGAGGTTGAGGTGGTAGGCGTCACGCCGCCGGCGATGCGGACGCGGATGCAGTGCGTGGGTTTGCTCAGCAGGTTCCACAGGAAACTGAGGTAGCTGCCGGGCAGCGGGGTGACCACGTCGACGGGGGTGTAGCGGAGACTGATGGGGTAGATCTTGGTGGTGGGCGGGGTGGTGAGCAGCGCCGGGCTGAGGGGCAGGATGGCGCGGCCGTTGGTGGTCGTGCACTCTGGGAAGGTGACGAGGGCGCGGCCGGGGTACTTGCGGAGGAGGGCGTCGAGGGTGGTGAGCTTATGGGCCGGGGGTGCGGCGGGCCGCGGGGCGCTGAAGGCGCGCAGGATCGCTTGGAAGAGCGAGATCTGTTCGACTTCCGAGGTGTTGGGGTAGCAGGCTGTGAAGATGGGGTCGAAGATCGCGGCCAGGTAGAGCGGGTCGATCGGGGAGGTGAAGGACGAGGCGATGATGGATCGCGGGCCGGGGAGGCGGGTCTGGTCTTGTCTGTGCAGGGATCTAGAGGCAGTTAGACTTGAGGGATTGATGTTCGTGCGGGATGTTGTTGTAGGCTGGAGGAGGTTCTGGCAGATGGGCTGATTCTGAAAGACATCACCCACCCGCCCACTTCGCACTCACCCTTTTCGCACACCGTCCACCTGCAGATCAATCCACCAGATACTAGGGATCCCCAGAATGCACCAGAGGGAGGCCTTCTTGCCCAGCGATCCGATCGGGAGCCATTGTAGCACCAGGAAGTAACTCAGACAGGCGAACACAAAGAGCGGCAGTCGGATCCAGAACAGCACAATGCGGACGGGGATCTGGAGGTAGCTGATGGGCTGAGGGGGGATGGGGAGGAAGGGTGCAATGCCCGAGCCTGGTGAAAGTCAATTTCTGAGCCCGGCAGATACCGGGACAGGTACGGAATGCTGACCTCGATCTCGGAATTGGGTGAATTTCTCCATGGTTCGGTAGGAATGGTCGTGTGATGGTGGTGGTGGAGGAGAGTGGTGGGTTATGGGGGAGGTTGTGTGATCGCCAATTTGGCCATGTGCTAGCACATTACCAGCAGTTTGCCTTTAGTAATAAGCAGGATCCAAGCTAGGTCTGAACCTCGAGTGAGAAAGGAAGAGAGAGGGTCGAGGAGCAAAGCTTGTTGAGCTCAACTGTTGAAGTTGGAGTTGGTGATTCTCACATGTCCACAACAATGTTCAGGTCACAATCCCACTAGCCTCCTTTGGGATGAGGCCGGCCATGACGGACTAAAAGCCGAGGCTCAGCCACATTTCCCTTTTGGGAGTGCTGCACATTGCAACTCGTTCATTGTTTATCACGGTATAGCTATAAGACCACGGCATAATTGTCTGTCATTGATGGAAAAACTATACCGTGTTTTTTTTCCTAGGCTAGAGCCCCACTGGCACGTGGTTGACATGACTGCCGGACATGACGTTCAGCAGCATCATCGCCATATCTCAAGCATACATGGTTAACAATCTGTATCTATATTCAAACCCATTTATACAACATTTAACATTTTATACAAGAAGGATAATAATACGAGTCGCTCAAAAAATTCGCCTCTCATGAACGAGGCAAGCGGAACATATAAACCGCCACTCCCACCATCATGAATGCCGTGGCAGTCATCATCCACGCCAGGCCAATCCACCGCCCTCCCAGCTCCAGCCCAATCTGAAACACGGTCGTGATCGACAGACTGGCAATCACGTTGCCCATCGACTGCAGGACCTCGATGATCGTGAACAGCCGCGCCGTCTCCTCCCGCTTCACCAGCGTCGTGATCAACGAGCGCGTCAGGAAGACGAACCCGGACCCGGAGGTCTGCAGCAGCAGACTCGGGATAAGCATGTACACGTGGCTCGAGAGCCCGATCCCCAGGGTCCCGACTGCCAAGAACACGATGCTGATGCGCATCAGGGTCAGATCCTTCTGCGTGGGCTTCATGGACTTGAGCAGGCGTCGCGAGATGGCCGGGAGGACGAAGAGGAATAGCGGGATGGTCAGGGCCGGCTTGAAGGACATGAGGAAGTTGGCTTCCGCCAGAGTCCACTTGAACCGGGTGGAAATGTACTGCACCAGAAACCAGGACGAGCCGCGGCTGAGTCGGTAGACGAGGAACGCCGTCAGGAGGAGCATAATCTGGCGGTTTTGTACGATGAAGGCGTAAGGAGCGAAATAGGCCTGGACCCGACGTTTTACTGCGGCGAAGAAGGTCCGTCTGGTTGCGGTAGCGGTGGCTGCACCGCTCTTCTCATCGACGTGCGACTCCCCCGGACCAGAGTCCTCGTCATCACTGGACACCTCCTGCTCCTGCTCTTTGCTCGGGACGGATTTATATTCGGAGTGGCTGGAGAAGATCTGTCCGAGTTCCAGATTATTCGACTTCTTCGACCCACGCCCTGGGGAGGCGCCCATGGTCTCCGGCAACGACAAGGCGAAGAACATCCCAATAATAGCGAGAGCCCATCCCAGCAACAAGGGCAGCCACGGATCGAGGGCCATCAGCCACGAGCTGGCCGCGCTGGACGCGAAATCAGCCCCCATGCCCGCCACCCCAAACTTGAAGAAAATCGCCGCTCTAACGAACTAATCAGCTAGAAAAACAGCTAAAAAAAATCGCAACAAACATACCGTTCCTCTTCAGTCGACACATCCGACATCATCGTCCAGATAATCGCAAACGCGACGACAGGTCCCCCGCCCAGCAGCCAGGCCAACGACGACGCCCACACGGTTCGCAGGGGGAACGTATCCGGGAACCACATGACAGCCAGCTGCATGAGGCAATTGAGAACGAAGCCGGGGATGCTCAAACAGATTGTGGATTTCCGTCCGAATCGGTCCGCCATCAGACCATAGGGGATTGCCAAGATAGCACCTGCGGGTAGAACATGAGCAAGACGATTCACACGCGCGCCAACAACCGCACCCATTTCGCAACCAGATGAGAGGTGCCAACGACAAGAATATGAAATAACAAAGGGAGGACGAGTCAGGGTCATCAGGCAGGTATGGAAACATACTCAAAGTCCCGTCGAAAAACTCCATGTACCCCTTGACGGCGGCCAGATCCTGCTGGACCTCCTTGATCTTGCACAGATCCTCGTCGACCTGCCCGTTGGCGCCGATTTGCGTTGGGTCGTACTGCGCATAATACTCGCGGCAGGCGATCGACTCGAAGATGCGGGTGACGGGCCCGTTGGACATGCAGATGCCGACCTCGACGGCGAGGATCATGGCGAACAATGTCACCATGAGGCGAAAGCGGATCTTCTTGTTGACCAATTTGACATCCTCCTCCTCATCCTCCTCTTCCTCGTGGTGGTGGTGGTGGTGCGAGTCGTCACTCTCATCCCCATCGTCATTGTGCTTGTGGGCTGCATTGGTCCGGTGAACGTTGGAATCGGAGGCGACGCCGACAACAGCAGCAGCAGCCGACAGAAACGGGGCATCCTCGCGGTCGAGGGATTCTTTGAACTGGGTCGACATGGCTTTCTCTCAGCTCCTATGGGACCATGGCCCGTCCGGATCGGATAGAGAGAAGGGGGAGGACAGCGGCGTGTGGTGAAAGGACAAAAGGGCTTTTGTATATATACGAAGGAAGAGGAAACAATTTTACATGTGGACAAAATTTCAAAATCTATCCATCTAATCACGCAAATACTCAAATCGAGCCATTTTTTGGGGGGGAATTGGGAAGAGGAGAAGGGGGGAGGGACATTCAAGAGGACAGAGAGAGGGGGGAAAGGGAGGGAGGGGGTGGGGAGGGAAGGCAGACTGAAGATGAAACCTCCGGGATAGGGAGTTAAGAAAGAGAGAAAAAGGACAGTCAGGGTTCAATATTACATTTCATTGCAGTACGGAGTAGAAGACAAGACAAGCCCAGCCTGGCCCCAGTCTCCGCCAAGCGGGAATTCCAGTTCCAGTTTTTTTCTGTTCTTATTATAATTGCCAGTACCAGAAGGTACACATTCTGATAAGAACTCCACTGCAGGCATGCTCAAACCCTACTAAGACCACCTATGGCAGACTAGCTGTCAATCCGGAAATGGGGCCAGGTCTCCTATTTTGAGACGGACTTTTTGGGGCGGAAGAGAGAGAGAGCCCTTGCTCGTCGGCAGGATGGACACCACGGAGATTCCTCGAGAACCGGCGGGAACCTCGGGAGTAATCGAGTGTCGCATCTTGTGTCAATTGGGAGAGTTATTGTGACGGATGCGGTGTGGTCCCGACGAAACAGAACATGAGTCTACAGCACTGTAGGACTGTAGTGCTGATGATGCGGAGCTGGCGCGTCCTCGGATGCGTACGGCAGGCAGCCAAGGCATCAACTAAGGCAGCCTTCCGCGAGTGCAGTGCTTACCCAGAGGGAAAGCGCTGCGTAATTGGTAGTATGAATGTACTGTACGGAGTATTCATATGGGTGTTCGTTCAATAGGAAAACCATGCTGACTTCAAACCGTCCTGACTCCTGACCCAGTCGATCAGGCTGCTGATCGAAGCGAGACTCTTCATTGGACTGAAATGATCGATTACACTGGTTTGGTCTATCCAGGGGCTGATACTGACTCAGCAATCTCCATGCGATACTTATCTAGTACTCATGTAACTACCGGCCCACCCTGTGCCCGCTAAGCCTAATACGAACGTCTAGACTCCACCGCCCGGGTAATTCTGCCCTGCCAACCATTCCAAACGATTGTCTTGGTGCGTCTGGCCGCTTGCAGGCTCAACATTCTATCGGGATGCTCCAGCTCTAGTCAGCCAGCCAGCCAGCCAGCCAGCCACAAATGCCAATCAACTATCATAAAACAGATGAGACTTTCTGCGAGATGATTTTGGATATATTTAGCTCTCTCAATGGGTGTTCCTCGCTGGATTAACTTCCATGTAGCAGCCTTGGAATGTGCACTCGATGCTGCATCGTGACTGATAACTGCCTCTAGAATGATGTCTCTTCTCATTCTTCCCTGTCTTCCGGGTTGGAAGTGACTCAAAATAAGATCTATCAAACCATTACAATTAGTGGTAATTGAGAACAGAACGCTCGACCAAATTACACTAATACAAGCATGGCCTAACAAGTCTAATGCCTATAGCTTCGTTGTGGCAACTATCTCTCCGTGGAAAAAGAGAGGTCTAGACTGAGGAAAATCACAAAGTCGCGTCGTTAGCGGTTGGGATCGTCTCTCGGAGTCACGCCGTCAAATCATGAGAAATGCAGACACAAAACAGAAATAGAAAAAGAAAGAGGGGGAAAAGTAATGGTTAAAACAGAAAGATAAGAATGGTAACATGCAGATCCAAGAGGCCAGCTCTAGGGCACTTCTTTGTCTCCCCTCTTCAGCCCCCCGGGCACATCAATCGCGTCCTTCACCCATGGCAAGGACGCGATCTCGTCTAGACTCTTCCTCTTGGTGTTGCGTTTCAAGAGTCCCTCCACGCATTCTCGCGCGCCTTCCAGATCGCTGCCCTTGGCAGGATCCCACTCGCCGTCACTGTCCGCATACCGATACCAGGACCACTCCACCCGCGCGATGCGATGGGGGGTCCGTGCGCGCAATTTCGCCGGGTCACCTCGAGTACCCGGCAAGGCGTCGAACGGCAGCCGGTTCTCCATCATCGCATACAGTAACACGCCCAACGCCCACGCGTCTGTTGACCGTCCATCATACGATTGGCCCATCAGGATCTCCGGCGCCGCATAATCCTCGCTGCCACATCGGGTTTGTAGGAGTGGGCTTTCCGGAGGCTCGGGTATCCGTCGGGATAGACCCAGATCGCTAAGGGTCACGATAGCTCGATCGTATGTGCGCCAGTCGCTGATCGTATCCATCGCGGAGACAGGAAGATTGACAAGAACGTCTGCAAGTGAGAAGACAAGTTAGGCCTCGCACTATGTATCAAGTCCGAAATACTCACTCTCTAACTTGATATCACGGTGCACAATGTAGTGCTCGTGTAGGTAGCGAACGGCCGCTACCAATTCGGCAAACATGCGACGAATCACAGGGGGGCTCAAAGGCCGGTTGCTGGAAGAGGCCACATCGAAGAGGTCTCCACCCGGACAATAGTCTAGGACGAGCAGTGCGCGTTTCTCGTCGCTGCCAAACGCTTTCAGCTGGACCAATGAAGGGTGATTGACGGAT